ATGTTATTGGAGCAGTCTGTTCCATTGAATCCTTCAGTACAATTGCAAGTATAACCAGCTACTTCATCAATACAGGTACCTCCATTCTGACAAGGATTAGGACTACAATTGTCTATGTTATTGGAGCAGTCTGTTCCATTGAATCCTTCAGTACAATTGCAAGTATAACCAGCTACTTCATCAATACATGTGCCTCCATTTTGACAAGGATTAGGATTACAATCGTCTATGTTATTGGAGCAGTCTGTTCCATTGAATCCTTCAGTACAATTGCAAGTATAACCAGCTACTCCATCAATACATGTGCCTCCATTTTGACAAGGATTAGGATTACAATCGTCTATGTTATTGGAGCAGTCTGTTCCATTGAATCCTTCAGTACAATTGCAAGTATAACCAGCTACTTCATCGATACAGTTACCTCCATTTTGACAAGGATTAGGACTACAGTCGTCTATGTTATTGGAGCAGTCTGTTCCATTAAATCCTTCAGTACAATTGCAAGTATAACCAGCTACTCCATCAATACATGTGCCTCCATTTTGACAAGGATTAGGATTACAATTGTCTATGTTATTGGAGCAGTCTGTTCCATTGAATCCTTCAGTACAATTGCAAGTATAACCAGCTACTCCATCAATACATGTACCTCCATTTTGACAAGGATTAGGACTACAATCGTCTATGTTATTGGAGCAGTCTGTTCCATTGAATCCTTCAGTACAATTGCAAGTATAACCAGCTAATTCATCGATACAGTTACCTCCATTTTGACAAGGATTAGGACTACAGTCGTCTATGTTATTGGAGCAGTCTGTTCCATTAAATCCTTCAGTACAATTGCAAGTATAACCAGCTACTTCATCGATACAGTTACCTCCATTTTGACAAGGATTAGGACTACAGTCGTCTATGTTATTGGAGCAGTCTGTTCCATTGAATCCTTCAGTACAATTGCAAGTATAACCAGCTACTTCATCAATACAGGTACCTCCATTCTGACAAGGATTAGGACTACAATTGTCTATGTTATTGGAGCAGTCTGTTCCATTGAATCCTTCAGTACAATTGCAAGTATAACCAGCTACTTCATCAATACATGTGCCTCTATTTTGACAAGGATTAGGATTACAATCGTCTATGTTATTGGAGCAGTCTGTTCCATTGAATCCTTCAGTACAATGCAA